GGATATCTCATCCATGTAGATAAATATTGGAAGGGAGACTGTAAAGACTGTAAAGAAGATACCTGGATCTTTTCGGTGGCTCCCAGTGACCAGAACAAGTACAATGAGAACTGAAACAGGACATTCTGTGTGAACATCAGGAAACATTTCTTTACTGTGAGGGAGACCAAGCACAGACACAGGGCACGCAGAGCAGTTGTGGAATCTCTGTCCTTGGAGATATTTCAAATCCATCTGGGCATGGCCCTGCTCTATGTGGCCTAACTTGAAACATGGTATAAGACAAGGTGATCTCAAAAGTGATCTTCCAACCACAACTGTTGTTATTCCATGAAAAGGTAAAATTACTTCAAAAACTTTGTCTAAAGTGAGAGAATCATTCTAAGATTGGTTGAAGATTGACAAGGGGAGTCTGACTGGTTTTTAACTCTTCTGATTCGGGTATCCATGGGCAGCCACCTCTATTCTATACCTCTAGTTTCCTGTTTCTGATCCCCACACCATCTACATGTCCACTGAAGCTGTTCTCCAGAAGTGCTGAGTGTTATTCTCTTTTTGCAGCAGGAATCAGTTATGTCTATTGTCAGCACATCCTGCACACAGTACAGAGACAAGAGCATTTACAGAGCATTTGCACCCTCTCAATAGCAGCACCCAGTAAATATCCTTCAGGTTCATTACTATGTAATTAGGCTCACTACTGCATACAACAATTTGATTTCTTTCCAGCATCCCTTCAGGTTTGGGAAAAGTAGGTAATTTTATATACTACCACAAGGTATTATCTGAGGAAGTGATTTGAAATGCTCATGATTTTGAACTTTGTCAAGTTGCTGTGTCGATAAGGCAGTAGCTATATTACTGGCTGCTGCACCACATTGCATTAATGTGATTAGAACAAAATCCTCCTTGCCTTAACCTCACAAGTAATCCCATTGACATCCATTTGTTCCTAAGTCTTCTTACTGTGACTGGGAGTCGTAGCACTTTGCAGAATCACCTTCAGGGATCACAAGACACATATAGGCGCTCTCTGCAGATAACTTAAGTAATGCAGTAAGCAGAACTGCAGTTTGACATTCACACCTGGTGATTTTTGTCTTTGAGATGTCAGACATTCTATATGAATTTGTGAATTTTTTCATTTAGACCATGGAGCCTTAAATGACCCTCTCAAGCAAGTGAACAGGGTAGCAAAGGGGAGCAGATAAACTAAATATTTCAACAAAAAAATCCACCTCAATTGTTCCTTACTCTTCCTGTCTATGGCTACAGTGGCTAGCACAACTTCTTTCTGCCCCACGAGTGGTTGGATTTTGGATTTTCCTGCATAAGTCCTTTTAAAAACTTGCAGTATCAACATTCTGTAAAAGTGAGGAAAGTTGACTTCTTCAAAAAACAACATTCTTTAATTTTCAAAAAGTATTGGCAGAATGTGAGAGTTTGAAAGAACTAAAAGAAAGTTACTGTTTTCTCTAGAGAGTTACTGAGATATTTCCCATAGAACAGTGTTTTAAAGTCACTTATTCTTAACTAGCAGAAATTGGAGGGGATTATGTTTTGGTGGGGGAAGGGGGAGGGGCAAAACCTGAACTTCTTTAGTCCTTATCTATCTCAGTTAATTACAGACAGAAAGGAGAACAGGATTTGCTTCTTCCAAAGTCAAAGCATGTTTCCACAGTAGTGTTTTCATAGAAACTTGGCGAGAGATAAGTGTTCCTAAACCTGTACTTTATTGTACTGAGAGCAAGTAAAAAAATTTTTTACCGATTTTTCTGGGCTTATTTCCCATCTTTTTTCTATTTCCCTCTGTTCTTCACATTTTAGTTGTTAAGATTAATCTTTTGCCTTCTGTCTGTCTTTGAGTGTCTTGAGAAAAATAGAATAGAGGTGTGTTGTTAGTTTTATGTGCTCATAAAACAAAGGCTTCAGAGCTAATGGAAAAGATTGTTCAGACTTTTTTCTATGTTCTCAGTTTTAGGGCTTGAAGGAAGTTTGTGCTCAAGAGGAAAATGTCTATGAATGCAAATATAGACATTTAAATTTTTCAGGGGATATCAGAAGGCTCAGAGTGAATTTCAGTGGCAAGAAGTGCCACTGAATTCCAGGAGGATGTGTTTCCCAATTTTTTATCAGTGTCTGTGGAAATTCCATCTGTAACTATGTGATTTTGCCACTGGGTTGAAAAATTAATGACACAAAAAGAGCCCCCCAGAACAGAGGGAACTGCTCCATATTGCAGTCCTGGAGAGGATAACAAAGTAGTTTTCTGGGGTTATTGCAGCCAAGGTAGAGGAAAGAGATGCAGTGTGCATTCCTTGAATGCCCCTGTGCCCCAGATACCAGCTATGTGGAGAAGGTTGGTCACAATGTCAGAACACAGGCAAGTATCCTGCTCTGCTAACTCTTAAAAACGTCTGTCTGTGTGTCAAAGCCAATTCTACCAACAACTAAACCAAAGTTTCTCAATAATGTAACCTACTATTGTAGAAATAATGTTGCTAGAAGTACAATTCAGCTTTCCCTATAAAGTTTAAACAGTGAGTTGTTTCCAATAGCACTTGAAGCACCTTCTTTCCACATTCCTTCTCCTCCCTAATATGTTTTGTTTGCTTGTATGTAATCTGCATTTTGCATTTCAGAAGACGCAGTCCAAAAGCACTTTGCCGTAAAGAATATGCTCTCAGAGGTTTTCAGGGATTCCTGGTATTTCTCAGGCTGCTGTGGGAAATTTTTCAATAACTAAGTAGGACAGTAAAGTTAGTATTAAAACAACGCTCCTAAGGCAACTACCCCTAGCGACTTCCTAATTTCTAAATAAGCATGCCTTTTGTTGCCTCTCTTCATGCATGGATTCATGCACAGTCTGTGTGCTGATGCAGATGAGCAGCACTGACATTGTGTCTTGCGGCCACGCTGGTGATGCCGTGTGTGAGAGTTACTCATGTGGAACAGTGGTTTATGTAATCTCCCCATCCCTGCCCACAGGCTGGGAAAAAAGGCAGCCATAAGGCAGGGAAGAGATTTGTGAATGCTGCGATATATCTAGGTTTTTGCTGTCACTTTAAGTGACTGCATTTTCTGAATGTGCTGGTGGCCTTAGCAGCTGAAAAAGCAGCAAGAAATAGCACAGGAAGTTCTTAGTTATATTCTCTTGTGTTATAAAAACATCTTCTCTTTTTATTGCCTTGATATTATGTCAAACCTATGTCTCACTTTTTGACCAATTGAACTTGAATGGTCTATTAGACTATTAGAATTTTCTTCATTTTTGTTTTGTGTAATTTCACTAATATTGTAACATATCAGGGTGATGTTTATGGGAAGGTTTATCTTTGTTCAGTGACTTACTATTTTCATCTGACTGTAGTATCTCCACAGATACCTACTTTTACTTAATTTTCAGCTCTTGTTTTATGTGCTCTAATTGTGAGTGTACCAGAATTGAGCTTGGAGATCCACTTATGTTATTGCCCTAAGTTTCTCAATTCTCATCATCAATCCTTCCTTCAAATTTTGCTGATCTACTGTTCAGGTGGATGAAGGTCTTCATGATTTTTTCCTATTCAAATGGATTTCCTGTTTCAAGACTTCTCAATGACTTTTGCTCAATGGTTTGCTCTTCGTAGGCTTTAGAAATTGCATGTCTGAGTAAACTCTGAAGTGTAATCAGAAGTCAATCAGAGGAATGTAATGGACATGGTTCTTTTGAATCAGTACTGTCTCAGAGAAAATTTATTCTCAGTGGAAAGTTCTTTAGAGTCCTTTCTTTTTGAGTTTTCCTGAAAACAAACAAAATATTAAGGAGAAACTTTCTTTTACTTAACATTCTGAAACACTCGTGCATGAATTTCTCCCTAGTGCCAAAGGTGATTTGTTTAAACACTGATTGATGTATCTGTTCCTTTTCTTCCTTTCCTTTTCAGAATTCTCGTGGATCCCCTGCAACATCCTTTAAAATCAGGTTGTGAGTTTTGTCAAGCCCACAACCCTCAGAGTATTGATGAGAGTGTTGATGTTGTACCGACATATGTCTTTGTGTTAAAATCCCAATTAAAAGTGAAGCCATAATAATATCACAATTAAATGAATAAAAATAACTTGCACAAATGCCTACATACGACATATGTCATACATATGACAGCTGAGTAAGAATTGCAGGCAGATGTGATGACAGAATAATTTTTGAGAGCATAGTAAAGTTATCTTGCAGAGAAATACACCACACTAAAGGCCATGGGATCTGAGAAATTAAATTATGATTTCTTGAAGTATTAAAAATAGTTTGCATGTGATAGCAGTAAGTTCAACACAGCTTTTGATCAGGATGAAAAATGCTGCTAACAATTACCCTAGAGTTCGAAGCAGATGCTGTGTTTTCCATTGAACCTGAAAGTAAGAACAAATACATCTAAATACATCTAATGCTATTTACAGGATGGTACCCTGACTGTGGTCAGTGCCATTTCCTTTTGGAGAGCACAAGAACTTTATATGCATAACAATAATACTTCTACAGTGTGTTCTGATCCTGATTTGGTCCAACATCTGCTGTTAGTCAAAGACTTCAGGAATTTCTTTATCCAGTGCCCCCTGAAATTTATCTTTTTACTGTTGCACATCATTCCATACTCCAGTTCAAATACAAGTTTTTAAACAAGTGGCATTTATCTGTATGCTACAGAAAGATACGGCACACAATTGAGACATCTAATGACATCTTGTTATTAAGGTGTAGAACCAGTTTCTATGAGAACTGGTTCTGCTGTGGACTTCTAGTCAAGACTAGATCAAGACTACAAAATTCAGCCTTTCTGTGCATTTTATTCTTAGTAAAATGGGGATAAAGATACCTTTGATTTTTTTTTTGCTTATTTTGGGACATACCATTTTTATCCATGTGATTTTCATTAGAGGCTATAGTATTGTCATAGAAAAAAAGTAATTGAAAATCCAGTCAGGATACAGCACTAGATTTCCTTGTCTCTCTCCCCTTCTAGGTTTTTAGAGTGTGGGATATACAGACTCTTTCACCGCTGCAGGTCTTCTATGAAGATCATGGGACTCCAGAAGAGATGAATTCCTTTCCCATGGTATTTGACAATGATCATGGCCTGCTTTTCACAGGTATGTTATTGCAGTTTGTGTGTGAGAGCATGCCCTTTTTCCTAGAATCCAATTTTCTTTATGATAAAATACAGCTGAAGTTGAGTACAGGAGTAAGGTATATGAGAACATACAGAATACTGGGAGATCAGGGTATTGCCCATTAATACTGTCTTAAAGTGGGTTATATATGGTGATAATTTCAATATTGAAATTGGGATGAAAATATGCAGCATTCGAATTAACAGCAGGAACCAAAGGAAATGAGAAAGGCTTCTCTGAAGGCAAGTTGAGCCTCCCATAGCAAAATTAAACTACACAGATTGTTACACAGACTTGTCATTTCTTGAAAACTATTATGTTATTGATCTCCCCCTAACTATTCCTCTAGGACCCACCTCGTGGTTGGAGATGAAAACAGCAGCATACAATCTCTGTGCAGCCCTCACAAGTATATTCAAACTCCTTATTTAACTCAGTAGTAAAGACAGCCCTACAATCTGAGGTGCCAACAGACACAGCGCCCAAATGATTAGGAATAAAATATTGTGGGAACTCAACCTGGAGTTTCTGGGCTCTGTTTCCTGACTTTGTAGTAGGGAGCCTGGCACCTCTGAGAGACCAGAGCTTTGCATTTGTCACAAAGGATGTTAGCCTTTTGTATCTAAGGCAGAGACTCTTTTGTATCTGTCCCAGAGATGTAGTCACAAAAAAGACAGCTTTGAACATGTTCTGAGGCTACAGAGGCCTGACATATACCAGGCAAATAAAGTAATTGTCTTTGGAGACAGCTTTTTCTGTCCTTGGATTAGGAACAAGGCACAAAGCTTGCAAAGCTTGTCAGATCTGAAAAGATGAACGCAAAATGTTTTGTTTTCAGTGACCTGATGGTTTCTACTGATTTTTTTAATCACTGAAGGATGCAGAAACTGTCTTCATTTCAAATTTATGCTGGTGAGATTTTCAAGGCTTAGCAATGTCGGGAAATTATACAGGTCACTCCTTGACAAAATGAGGTAATTTACCCTTATAAACAATGGTTCTATAAGTGCCTAAATATTTGTAAAAGTCTGGTCCTAGATTCTGTTAATGATTCCATTAAAACCCTAGGTGGATGTTTCCTTGCCCCTGAAGAGGGCAAGAGGGCGAGGCTGTATATGAGTGAATTCATCCTCATTGCTATGCACCTGGCTTCACAGAGGAGATTTTCACTCAGTAATTCACTAACATTCATAAATCACAACTCACCTTCATGCTTCATTTGAATTTTGCCATAGCTTTCCTTCTGTGCCAGTTTCCAAGTTGCTGGCCTCTGCACCTGGATTTATGCCAAGGATTGGGCAATTTCCTCCTTTATTCTGGGCTCACTGCTGCTCCTCTGCTGGTAGATCAGCAGGAATACCGGGGCTGGGATAACTGGAGCTGCAATGAGAAACTGCATATGCACTCTGGCTTGAGAGCACTGTACAGACCTTGTCCTTTATTTTGTCTTATTGGCCCCGTCTGCCTTTGTCTTTGCAACCCCTGAACTGAGAGCACTGGAAGGTGTTTGGAAAACACCATTCAGAGCTGCAGTGCTGTATAGAGAAGGTACTGGAAAGACATCATTGCTTGAAGATAGAATTGCTTTATCTCTAAGAAAGCAGAAATCGGAATTTATTTGAGTGGTAGATCTCCCAGTCAGAGTTTTATGTATTTGGTTTCATGCCATTTCATGCCAACCATCTCTGTGACTGGGGGATTTATGGCTTCTACTAATTTGCAGTCAGGATGTCAATTTCATTAAAGGTGGGCAGAGGACTGTGTAAGACAGGTAAATACTTGGCCTTTGTTTCACTGGTACTTTTTGGGGATGGTGTGAGATGTTTTCTGTGTCAGAGGGCATGTATTCTCAAAAAACAGACAATATTCCATATCCTCTTCAGTAGAGCTCATATGAACCCAGTGGTTTACATTAAATCTTTTCATTTCCAGGAAAGTAATTATGCACGAAATGTATGTATTCTCACTTCTCTCACCTTGTGCAGGTTCAGATGTCATTGATATTTATCCCCTAGCTAATGTGATACAAGATTCAAAAGAGTTGCCTCAGACACATGAGAAGAGCCTCAATGTTCTGCTTTACAATAGGGCTTGTCACCAGATTCTCAGCATTTGCACTGAGTCAATACTAAAGGTAAGTTGTCACCCTTTATACTGAAAAGTAGAAGTCTCAACTTTTGTATTCAGAATAAGTTATCAGGAAATTTGATAAGTTACTAATATTTTTTATTCAAAGTGTTGTTTTTGTGGCTATTTTTGGGGTCCAAAGAAGTGGTAGCCATGAACCCCATTTGGGTACAGAAAATCCAACTTTTCTTTTTAACATAAATACAATAAACTACAGTAATCACAGTAATCTACAATACAGTTTCTACAATAATCAGAAGAGGTACTGAGAACATGTAGTTTTCGCTAGTTGTTGGTACATTGGATGGCAAAATTTGTAGGAAGAGGTAGCATCTTTTATTGGGTCAGTTGGTGATGCATGGCATTCCTATGGAGAAAGGCTTCTGTAGTGGTTTGTTTAGTTTATACTTTCTCTAAAGATGTTATTTGTCACTGTAAACCCTGCCTTCCTTAGACCACAATGGCTGCAACAATATTACAATCACAAGATAATTGGAGCACTGGTGCTACAGAAAATCAGATTCCAGTGCATATGAAATTGGTGGCTACTTGATAAATCCTGTTGCATCTCAGTTATCCCACTACAATGACCAAATTTTGTATTGGTGTTTCATACACAAAAAATAGAGTCTCCCCTTGCCTGGGTGGCTTCCCCAGAGAAAGGGACATTTTCAGAGAAAATACACTGGTGTTTCAATAAAAAATTTTGCTATTGGCCATAATTTTATTACAGTAGAACACACTGTGTAACCAGTTTTAGAGGATGTATTAAAAAAAAAAATCTCATTCTAATATTATTTTTTTAGGTCTGGGACCTAGAAACAGGATCTCAAATATATCAACTAGAAGATGCACATGGGCTGAATATTGAGGTGACCTGTGCAGCCATTGAAAGAAATGGGGTTTATCTTGCTACTGGAGCATGTGATGGTAAAGTAATTAAATCATTATTACCTTTTTTTTTTTTTTACCTTTACTACATTTTGTTAACATTTTAATGGCATATTACATTAGCAGACAGAACTCCTTGCCTTGACTGTCTCGGTGACAGAATTAATTTTGATTGCACAGCTGTCAGTCTGCAGAAAGGCAGGGCTGGGTCTTGGTTGGGTTCTTTTTATAGGTGGTTCACAGAAATATTATTTTGAGCTGCTTAGGCTCTGGTTCATTTTTAGCTTATTACTCTTTGAAAGACTATCTTCAATGCTCTTGGTCTGAAAAGCTGTTTCCTTGTAATACTTAGGACCTAGATGTATAACTAAATAGTTGCAGATGAAGAATGGCAGTTTTAAAATTTTCTAGTCTTTAAGCTCAATTTCATAGTGTTGGAAGTCATTGAACACTAGAAGGTATAGATAGATAGACAGAGAGATATGGATATAGATATAGATTATCTATATAGATATATAGATATAGATATAGATATAGATATAGATATACATATAGATATAGATATACATATACATATACATATACATATACATATACATATACATATACATATACATATACATATACACGTTTCCTGTATTTTTCATGTCTGTTATTAATGGTGCATGAATTTTAGGTAATATGACAAGACCTCTCCAATACACAAGTACACATCTAATTGTGCAGGAAGCTTTAATAATTTTATAACCTGTTAACATGAAAGAATAATTCTTCTTATCTTAAAATGTTCAAGAATACACACCTGAATTTCTAAAATATGTGACATTTATGAAAGCTACTTCAAATAAAAAGGAAATTATGGCCTTTGTCACACAACACACTGGCTAATATTTCTTGTTTCTACCTGGGAGCAGAGACTGCACCCTTTATGGTTCTTAAGACCACAACAGAAGGTGAATGTTGTCAAGTATTACAAAAGAAAAGTCACACATAATTAATTGCTTTACTTAAGAAAATTACATGGCTTCTTCTCCCCAGTATCTCTCTGGGATAAATCCAGCAATCAGGTCCCTCAGCTCATTGCTGTTGCTCAGAGCCCAGAGTCTTCTGCCGGATAGCCCACACTCTGACTGCTCTCTGATAATGTTATTCAGAAACTGTAGAAGTAAGATAAGCAGAGATCTTTTATCCTGGGCTGTACAAGAAAAAAAAAAAGTACATTTAAAAAAATATGGGAAAGTTGAGAGGGTAGTGATGTTTTCTGTTAAGTTTTTTTGGCCCTACAGCTGCTTTGCTAAGAAACATACAGTTACAATTTTTGAAAGACCAGTGACCTAGCTCTTGACCTCAAATTGACCTCTTTCTCTTGACCTCTTTCTCTTTTCCCTGTTTGGTCCTATTTAAGATTCTGGATTTGCAACACAGGTTATTACATAAAGTTCATTCCCTTTTCTACATTTTTGTCATCCCTGTGTAGGAACAGTGAAAATCTGGGAGTTTGAAAGCGGTCAAGAAATTAAGGCCTTGCCTTTAGCGCAACACAGCAATGATGAGCATCGTATGCTGAAGATAGTATATCTGAAGGCTAATGAGGGTCAACATGCAGTTATTGTTTTGGAGCAGAGAGGGAAGATAAAAATCATTCAGGTTTTTCAAATATGCTTCCTTTTCCCCCACTAATTTCATTTGGTAGCCCCTCATTTCTGAGGTAAAATAGGACTTTTTTATTAATTAGTAGATAAACTTTTAGAAACTGCCAAGGAACCATCTAATTTTTCAATGCAATCAGCTTAGCTTTTACCCTTCTGTCTAGTGTTAAAATGTTTATTAGTCCATTACTGGTTTTCAGCATTCTCATAATTTTTTCCTCAAGTTTGCTTTTTCATTTGTGATTGCAGTTTCAGTAGTTACAGATCCTTTGAGGTAGCAACTTTAAAATATTGGTGTTGTTACTACAAGTAGTGTTTAGTCTATTTAAAGAGCTTCTTAAGATGATATTTTGATGAAATTTTTTTTTTTTGTTTAAAATAATAGATTATGACAGTGGATTCTTAGGAACTGATACCGAGAAACAAGGCAGTAATAAACTAGATTGCCTTGCTTGGCTTGATTTTGAGTATATACTCTGTGTTCCCTTCAGCTAAAACTAACAGGATGCATTCACAGCTTAAAATAATTATAGCTTAACTTCTCAAATAAACCATGTTTCTTTGGAATTAATTTCCTCAAATTGGAATGTTTAACTTGGAACAAAATTCTTCAGAAACTTTAAAGCTACTGTGTGCACAGTAGAAAATGTGAGTTTAGACAGATCATATATTTGAGAACAAAAAGAAATATACAGGCTCTCATCTCAGGAAATAATACATTCTTTTAAGCCTGCTAATGAAAAGCTGCTTTTTACAGGATTTTCTTCTGTTATTCAGACTTTTTTGAAATAGTGCATCACACTACTTGCTCCTCAGTGTTATTACTGAAATTGTTCAACCATCCATTAAGTGTAAATTATGTAAATGTATCCCTTGATAAACAGATTGGTGAGGAGTTGAATCTCCTCCAAGTCTTTATGAAACTATTAATACTGTTTCACATACTTGCAGAACTACATTTTTCCACAAACATTTCTGTGATAATGAAAAATGCAGGTTGTTTTATTATTAGCAAAGTAACTCCCAGTTGCCTCTAGGCATGATGGGGAGGAATCAGAGACTCAGCTTTAGCTGAGTTATAGCTTCTCTTCTCACACAGCTGGAGCAACCTTCACTTTTGCTGGATGTTTTGGTAGATATGAAATGGAGAGTAACAATGTTTGTGAAATAAGCAGCTAAAACTAAGGAGACAACTTGCTTTAAAGAGGTAGTTAAAATGAGTAAAATCAATAGCTCTGAATTCCACAGCTGTGCAGCTTCTAATATAAGAGCAGGTAAGGGGAGCTGAAATATGTCTAGATGAAGCTTCAGTTTGTAGTTTATGCATATGCTAGTTAATACCTGTAACAGTTTTTGTAATTTGTCAAAGAAAACAAGCTTTTGATACACACTTGCTATAATTCTTTATGAATAGAGAAATCCTTTCCTTCCTCTTTCATTAAGTCAGTTATTTTAATAGGGTGACTCAACTCAAACAGATCTGTATGTCACATGGGTGCTTCCTGAGATAGTGCCTTTTCCACGAAGGAATCCAGTTGTGTATCTGTCTCTGAAGCCTGCCTCCTTAAAAACACAAGATTTTTTTCCAGAGATTCGTCTTCTGTGTAACACCAGTTGCATGAAAAATGACACAGAGGTGAGAAACACTTCAAAGTTTCACAACATTTACAGAAGATTAGAAAGTAAAATGTTTACTGTGCTCACAAAGATTTCATGTTTTAGGAACACGACAACAACCAAATATTTCCCACTGTGGTCCCTTACAACCTTACACGTTCTGTGATTCTGTGATTCTAAACTTTACTGTACACTGAAGTAAATACACAGAATAAATCATGTAAGAAAGTGACTGTTTCTAAGGGCTGTATCTTCCTAGAAGTCCATTGCATGGTTATCACCATAATTAAGGAGTTGCTCTGAACATAAACTTCACATTTCTGTACAATATATTAAATTGAGGTTCTCACATAAACAACTCAAGAAATTAGTGTCTTTCCTTCTATAGCTAGGCTGACCTTTAGTAGTAGTGGCACGTAAAGATCAAGCTCAGTATCAGAGTGATTCCATTTTCTCCTCTTACTGCTTCTGTAGAATAAAATGTCAAATTTATGTTTCAATTTAACTTGAATAGTCCACAAGACTCAAGTTCTGTCTTGTAAAATTTCACTAACAGGTGTGGATGATGTTCATGGAAAGGTCATTACATCTCTGGTCAGACTTCTTCCTTTAACTTGATTAGAATATCTCCACAGATACCTACTTTTGATTAATCTTCAGCCCTTACATCTGTTTTCACGTGCTCAAATTGCAACTGTACTGTAAAAAGCAGGTGAGGTTGGAGGCCCCTGTCCTCTGCAGGAGGGAGTTTCCCAATACTTTCACTGCCTGTTTCCTCTGGTGCTTCTATGTAGCTCAAATACAACAGCATTAAAATAGCATCCCATATGCAGTCATTCTAGACACTGTCAATTTAGGCATTTTGTTAGATTAACAGTTAAAATATATCACAGTCTGTAGTATCCTGCTCTTACTCCTACTCAATTTTTTCTTTTAATCTTCTTTGTAGACTTTTTTATCTTCTGTGGATTTTAGGTGTTTTGATGTTTTAAAAGTAGAAGGAGGCAGATTGATAGCTACAGGAAGTGCAAATGGTGAAATAAATTTGTGGGATTTTGAATCTGCCTCTGTGAAATGCCTGTAAGTATTACTTTCATGCCTTTTGATCTCCAATATGTCATACAAACTTTTCAAATGGCATACTAGATATTCCAATATGCCCAAATATAAAAGGTGATTTACAAGCAGGAATTAAAGTAGCAATTTATATGGGCCCTCCTCCCTCCCACTTCAAATTACTTTGCTAGCTAGTCCTGACATTTCAGGTAGGAGAAGTGATAGGAGAGTGATTTGGGGAAGGGATGATATAATTTAAAATAACATTTTAATGTAACTCAGCACTGCCACTGAAGGAAACTCACTATATAAATCACTCTAGTCATTGACTAGAGGCTGCTACAGAGCTCTAGAAACATCCTTATTTTGAAAGTTTTGTGTTTGGGAGGATATTTGGAAGTAATGCTACTTCAGATGATAATTGCAGAAGTTCTACATTATCAGTATCTCGATCACTGTCCATACCTAGAAGCCTAAAAGTCATATTCAATGAGGAGAAACCTGATGTGATTTTGGAGGTTTGAGAGTAAAGATCTTTCAGAGAAAGAGACAAAGAGTGATCATAGGATGGTTCCACATATTCTTATCCCCATTAAGCTGCTATCTCAGTAAACTGAACCATGGCAATATGTCTGGTTAGACGGAGTGGAGCAGCATAGCAGTATTCCTGTGTTAGTGAAGGAATACAGGTCTTTCAGGACCATACAAAGTTAATATTTAACTATCCTAACCAAGAGTTTCACTTCATTTTTCATGTGTAAAATTGGCAGGTTTGTGAGAAAGTGAGATGAGTTTTCTGCACCATGGAAAATAACCAAAACTTTACTGCAGTTTAGACAGTGCTCTTTCTTTATATTTGCTTCCCCATATATGAGTCAGCTAATTCATACTGAAGCATGGAAGACAGGAAAGTCAATGTCAGTAGAGTACTTTACCGAGGGCTCACATCACTGCTTGAGTGCCAGGAAGAAGGAACATTGCTAACATTAACTTAGTTATTTAAGTTAATTCACTTTCCTCTTAAATACTAATCCTCAAGAAAATACTTGGCTGAATGAAATTTTCATCATTCCATTAGGTACCTGTTTTTCCTGCGACAGGCACATTCTGTATGTCTTGTCCACTGACATTAAACCATCATGACTGATTAACTGATTCTGAAAAACTGTCTAAAACTTTGGGTGGCACACATTCTGGGAAATTAAAAGTTTAATTTTTTACAAGTTAAATGTGTAACATTTTCTGGAAAAATACACAACCTATCTGACACATCCTGTACAAATATCTATGTTTCCAGGCGTAAAACTACTGAAGACAATCAGGGCTCTGGAGTCAATGCCATATTATTCCTTGTACATAGGATTTCCTCTTCCAGGTAACTCTGCATTTTATCTTCCTTGGGGACAGTCACAGTCACTTGGAATTTTGTTGTAGTAAAATGATGTAATGTTTCTCCAAGACAGATTATTTGAATTGAGATTTTATTTGTATTTAATCAATTCAGGTCCATGCAGTTAATTAACTTTCCCAGTCTTACACTTGTAAGTTTAAGACTGGGAAAGTGTAAGCATAATAATAATCCTTGTCATACAATATGTTGTTTTTTGGTTTTTTTTCACCCAGCTCTCCTTTTTACTCTAAATGGTCCCATAAGTCTCAAAAATGTTGAAGAATTCAACAGAAGGTAGCTTTTGCCTGGTATCAGTTTTCCAGTGTACCATAACTTCTATCTCTATGAGATAATTGTGTGGCAGCAGGCTCTTTTTTTATTTTAAACCTGATAAAATCCTCCTGCTTTTAGATACACTCAGCAAAGAGGAAAGCACATCAAAGCGTGTAGCCACAAGATACCCCTTAAAACAAGCTAGAACCTTCCATAGGTTGGTAGTGTTGGAAGAAAAAGAGAATTTTAGCCAAATAAACTCATTTGGAAAGGGCATTGCACCTGTACATCACTTCAGAAACACTTGTGTTCCAATGGATATGCAAAGGCAATGGTAGCCAAAAGGATTCAGTATGGCTTAAATACTTATGCAGCTTTAAGGTTTTTTAGCAATTAGACAGCTTTTTTGCTCTTGTGAGCCATAAAGCTGGCTGATGGTCTTATGTTGCTTTCAAATCTTCAAGTAGCTTATGCTACTTGATATCAGCGCTACTTAACTGAACATAAATTCTCTTTTAATAAGTACATGATAACTTAATGACTAGTTTAAGAAATCCTAGCTAAATTTTAAAAATAGGAATGATTAAAATTCATGGATAGATGGTTTTTTTTATAAATTAGGATAAGCTTTTACTATTCTTAAACAGGAGAATCCTGCAATTTCTTGGAAAATCATACAGTCTTAGGATGTTTTGTATTTACTGGGAAAATACCTGGATAAATTTGACTGTGATCATACACACACAAAAATGTTCAAGCATGATAGCAAAGCTGTAAAATCAAACACTGAAAATTGCAAAGTTATGGCTACCTGACCAAATTTAAGTGGACTACCCCAGCTGCATACTTTCTAACTATCCCAATTATTCAGATACTTTTGCCAAAAGCAGAGCAGCTGCTTTCGGTGTGTTATGTGGCAAGAACCACTTATTAACACAGTAAGAATTTGTCATGACTCAGAAAAAATACCATTAAAGATCACATCCATTTTTTTGCCATTATTTTCTTCCACAAAACCACATTATTGAGAGTTTTCATAACAGTTTTAAAATAAGTTTTTATTATTAATTGAAAACTATTTGCAGAGAAAATACTGTGTAAAATGAAAGGGAAAAAGCCATTGTCAGGCAGTTAATTTTTCCCTTTCATACCTTAAGGATGAATACCAATGTTACTTTTTAATTACGTGGCTTTCATTACCTCAAAACTCCTGCCAGGAAAGGTTGGCTGTGTAATATGCAAATATTGCCTAGTTACTTGAAAAAATATATAAAACAAATAATTCTTAGTCTAATCAGTTTAAGTACTATTTTATTATGCTTTTTAATGCTGGATGATATCGATTTCCAGGTATCAAATAGTATCTTCAAGAATGTCAGTGATCTTCAATAATTTATTTCACACAGGAAAAGAAGTTCCCAGTCCCCTACTCCTTCTGTGAGGAGTGATGCCAGTGCCATTGCAGAGCAGAAAGGAAGTTCTTCAGACCAGCATGAGGTATGGTGGGTGGTTTGATGGATTTGGTAGCATTCAAAACAAATTTTTATTTTCTTTTTGTTTTGATTTTAAAATACTGTAACTTACTAAAATGCCTCCCTAACACCATCTGCAAAACTAAATATCAATAATTATAAATTAAGAATTATGAATTATGAATGAATTATGAAGAAATTAAGAATTACTAAGAATTATTAAGAATTAACAAAGCTTTGTTTAGCTTTGTTAAACTGACTCTCACGGTGCATTAAGAATCCTTTGATAGACAGCTGGCTCTGTGACACATGGAATAGCTAACTGTCAAATTGTTTGGCAGATACTTATCACTAGCAATTCTGACTTTCAAATAGGGGTATACAAGGATTCAAGGGGGAAGGTAAAATAGAAAAATTATAAAGGACTTGAATAAAAGTGGAACCACTTCAGCATTGCAGCCACACTTGCTTGGATACATTCTTTCAAATGAAAGCATCTTTTTTTATTTTATTTTACCAATGCTGTATCAGTGTCTCAATCTATATATTTTTGCTAAGGATAGTGTTATGGGTTTTGTGACACTTTTTGGCCTTCTATGCCAGAAGGACATGCCATACTTGCAGAGCAATAAAAAGTAAGTAGGCAAAAAGAGGGAAGTCCTTCTACCTCTGAGATTCTTACCAGCATGTTGTTTCAGCAGAACATGGCACTTGGATAGATTCCCAAGCAAACTCTGGCTTAATTGCCATCTGCAAACTGAAGTATCCAATGCACTGTTCTGTGTCCTCACTAGAATAACAAATGGAAAGTGATTTTCAGCCTTTGAAAATATGCCTGAAAGCTATATACACCAAGCCTTACATATAAATGTGTAGGATAAGATTTAAGTGACTTGCCCCCTTCTGAGATACCTCAAACACTCGAGGCCACAGAGTTTTCCCTGCCTTATTTGACTTGGCAATTTCTGACATCAGTATACTGATTACTGTCAGCCTTGGGGATCCTCAGAAGCCTGTGTGGCAAGGCACAAATGAGGATTTCTGAAAATTCCCTTACTGAAAATGCAGACATGAGTAAATGTTTATACATGCATAAATGTATTTATAAGCTTTGCTAATTTTTGCTCAAGGCAGTGACAAGACTATATGTGTGTTCTGAATGACATTCTCAAAGAGATCTCAAAGGTTACATTCATGATTGTGACTGCTTGTCGTAAGAAATTGTCTATTCAGCTAAATTTACATTTAACTTGCTCCTTAATTCCCATTAATTTTGTTTTTGATTTGTTCATCTGTTTATTCTCTTCAAATAAAGTGTTTCTTGTTTATACTCAGTGGAAATTGGAGGAATATTTGAATAATCCAACTAAAAAAAAATAAGTTCTTACAATAATTTCAACTAATGAAGTGTTCTGTAGTTAAATACAAATTCCACTTCGTAATTCTCTTACATTTTATTCTTTTCTTTTAGAAAAATGCAGAAAGTGATGAAATTAATACTGAAATAAAAACAGGTACAGAAAGATGTTTTTCATTCTTTCTGATGTTGATCCTCAAGTTCTGCCCAGGCTATTGTAAAACTGAGTTTGTCAGTTTGTCTGGCAAACTTTGTTTAGAATAATTGGGATAACTTCTGGTGTGTGAATGACAGATCTCATCATCTTCATTTCCCTCCTGATTTGCAGTTATTTCCCAAAAACCAGGCCAGGATCCAGGATATGCAAGACCTCAATTGCTGTTTTTCTCCAAGTTGACATGATAACACTTTCAGAGTTTGGGAATTTCAGCTATACACGTTTTTCTTCTACATAAATATTCAAGCAATGAATTATTGAAATAGTATAGCAAGAGCCAACTTTAGTCAAGCATCAGTAAATGGCCTCACAGACAAAAAGCTTTGAAACTAGGTGAAATTTTAGAAAGAAAATTCTTCATTTTGGTGTCTGTCCTTAAATATCATAATCAAGGGAGAGCCTAGTGCCTAAGAGTAAAAGCTGTGCAAATGAATTGGTGAATTTGCAAGAAATAAATCCTCTAAGATCTTCTGAAACCCTTATAAATCCTCTGCTGGAAAGCAGAATTTCCCAATAATAAGAAATTTTATCATCTGCAGTATGGATTTAAGATCAGTTTATTTGGGGAAAAAAGCACACCATAAAACCAGAGCATTCCTAAGCCTTGTAGTTGCCCAATGAAATAGACACTTATGTTAAGTCTTGCATCCACTGAATTTTTATGAAGGTCCTGCCAGCATCTCCAGCTCTGGAAAAGTCACAGCAGAACCTCAGAATGGGTCTCTGTGACCATCTCCTTGCGCTTAGCAAAAGTTTTCAATTGGAGAAGTAAGTATAGAAATCTATGATTCCAGAATTTTTAAGTGTCATCTCATTGTTAAATTTCATTGCTGAATTCATTGTTGTCTCTAGAAGCCTCATACAGAGGCTGCACATTTGCCTGGTAGCTGTCCTGATGAGCACTGTCCTGCACTCCTTCTCCACTCTCACTGGTGCTTGCCGTTCCTGGAAAATCTATGGCTTTCTTCTAAATAAGGTTCCCCTACATCATTGAGCAGTAGTTCTGGTTGGTTTAAATGAGATAATGGAGATTGTTCCCATTTCTTTTCAGTTATCTTTATCTATACCTCTAATGTTTTTAGAGTAACACTGCCTTGATGATGAGTTTTATTTTCAAATGTAATTCTTTTTCGCATATTATGTAATTTCTGTGCATTGAAAAGCAATACTAAAACCTTTTGAGAAAATATATGATCATTTGTGTTCCAAAGCAGAAGAAACAACTAGCTGTAAGGACACCCAAAATCCAAAGATGAATGAACAGTTGTTGAAGGCTAGAGCAGGACTATCACCTCTACTGGCTTCTGCTCATGAAAGTAGCTGTATCCGCCTATGGAGTATTCAGGTAGCCAACTGAATGTCTTTGGGAAGGGACTGGAACATTGAGAAGATAATGCCACTAATCTTTGGAAAATTGCTCTTTAACTAAAAATTGCAGCAGCAGATATTTATTGCATCTTTCGGTTATCAGTTTCTTCCATAGACACAAATGAATTCTGCTTTAGTAATTGCAGCAGGGCATAATGGCAAGTGGAAAACAAGGAAAATTATTTGAAGTAATTATAACAAACTGACTCTAAATTTATGTGAAAGTCTAAAATGTAATTTTTCACCCACAACATTCACCTTCTAAAAAAAGGATGACAGGCAAGGCAGAGTGTCCTACTCTCAGAGGAGGCTAAATATGTCTGGAAAATTGTACATGTCAGCTAGAACTAGTAGGGTAACAAACGAGGAAAGAATAGTGTCCTAATACATAACATCTACAACTGTTATGGGCTTGAAAAGCCGGTCATGCAACCAAATGGCAAAGGCTTATTTGTCATATCACCTCAGATCTATAAGACTTTTCCAGGCACCATGTCACTCTAAATAAGATACCCAGAGTAAATACAACAAGAAGGGAAAGTAACATGATATGATTGGTTGATTTGTAATACTGCTCATTGTGGCAGACAGTAATCATGAAAAGTCAGCCATGTAAGGCTTTAACAGGAATCCCAGGTAAAGCAAGTAATGGGAAGAATTTTTCAGAAAGTTGGTGAGGTAACTTTGCAGATGTTTTATGCAAAATAGAAAATTATGGTAAATGTATCCAAGTATAGTAGGTGTGAGCTTTGTTGGGTTTTGTTTTCTTTATAGTTGATGTATCAGTTTGCTTAGATTCCTACAGGAATCTCCAAATTCATATGCCAGTGGTGTCATCACTAGACTGATTGTCATCATAATTACATGGATGACAAAATAAGAATCTCCTTATCAGTAAGACATTCTCCCTCACATTCCCCCAGCCCTGAAGAGGCTGGTGAAGGAGACATTATAGGCCCGTTTGCATCAAAAAAAACAACATTTCAGTAGCAAATGAGGGGCATTCTGATGTTATTCCATAGCAAATGAGGAGTAAGTGGTGAAGTAGGGGTAGGTCTAACTAGACTGACTTATCTGAAGAATTAAAGAGCTTGTCCTTTCCACGACATACAAGAGACAGCAATCCAGAAGAATACACAGCTGTCTTCATCATTTGGGAGATTTAGGAATTTACCTTCTTAGCAGCTTTCTGAAAAGATATGAGCTCAGCAATGTTGAATATTTAAAATCAATGGCACACAAATTCTGATGAGATAATATTTTCAATGTAGGTATTATAAGATAATATGTGGGGGTTATTTCTTTGTTTGTTTTAGGGAAACTTGATGAAAGAACTTCTGCCATTTTCAGGATGTCCCTCAGGTCCTCTGACAGTACTGTGTACAGACATCTTCACTAAAATTCTTTTGACAGGCAGTAAAGGTGAGTAAACATGTTAGTCATTTTGTTCAGGACAGTCAGTAGGATAAGAAAATATCATGGTGTAAATGTGCCAGAAATGTGGAAACGATGATCCAAGTTCTGCCAGGTTTTCTCCATCAAAGCTATAATTAAATAATTATAAAAGTTGTTATGTTTTATAAAAGGATAATAGATTAAAGTTTAGTGTTATAGTGTTATCAATAGAATTGTTTTCATAAAAGACATTAAAATTTTCTTCATTCACATGCCCTGAATATACTTTCCATCTAAATTGTGATATTGATCCCAAGAGCAAAGATTACTGCTAAGAACAAGCAAAAATTTAAGTTCCATGGTAATAATACTATATAAAAAATTGCAACTTGGGCTGTACCAAGAGCTGTGGTTCAAACACTGATACGGAGTTCACAGTAATGGCTCCAGCAGTATACACAGCTATATAGGAAAAGCACTTGTCAATGCTAGCAGCTCATTGCTGGACCTTTAATTTCACGTGAAGTCTGGCATTCATTTGGCAGAATGTTCAAAAGTTTATCTGCTGTGTGATTCTTCTTCAAATCTTTGGAATCACTCTGGCAATTTTCCATTTCAGTGTCTGTCATAATGTGTCACTTTTCTTTTAAAATACATATTAGAACTGTTTTCTGCGAGCTTCCTGCTCCTATGTGGTCAGATATTGGATGGAGCAAGGGATTTTTCCCCTTTAGTTTCAAAATTGAGCAATAATTTAATTTTTATACTGAAAATTATGAGGAGTTTCCACTCCTCTCTGATTCAAATGAGTAAATGAGTTCAGAAAGGCAGCATGCACTGAACAGGATTTCAATTAATTGTAGAAAAATATCTACCCTACTCCCTACTCATTTGATACTCTCCCTTTGCCTTGTTGTGTTTGTGTCACTGTGTATTTGCTTTTCATGCTTTCCACACTCTTCTCTTTTATCTGCAGTGCTGCTACCAATTTCCCCTCTACCGATTTTTCCTTGTTATAAAAAGGTCAGCTTCTCTGCCTGCCTCCTCCCTTGCTTGCAAATGTACAGTCCTAGAAATCAAATATGACTGGTATGAAAGTTGGAATTACACAAAATATTCCTCTGTCTTTTAGTAGAAATGAGAAGTAGGAGGCAACTTCATCAGGAGAGGGAGAGCCTATGTAGGAAACAGAGCAGTTGTGGGTAATAAGGAAAGTGGTTCTTTGATTCTAGTTTCACATGAGTGCACTAAAAGGTTGTAAAACATTAAGCATTCATTATGTATACAATTAATTAAACTTTGTCCATTTTACCAGGATTGAAAACCAGTGTAATCCCCAGGAAGTTCTCATACCTTGGCTGTACAATAGACAACCGTCTTGACAAGATAACTCTTGCTTTTCACGCCTAATTTAAAGAAAAAGCTTTACTTTCCATTTCAAACCCGTCCAGTTAATGACATATTGCTCACAACTTGCATAGGTGTTTCTTTGCATATTAATGAACAGTCCATTATTTCTACTCTGAGCTTGACAATAAGATAGTTATATTCACAGTAAACGAACTGAACTGTGTTCTCATCTTCATTCTGCCCAAAGTCTACTGAAAGTAAATGGCAGCAACAAGTGAAGGTGTAGCGCTAAAGAAGCTTACTGGTGTTTTGCTTTCTCCTTTCTGCAACAGAGGGATATATTTTTCGCTGGAACATGGCCTCATTCTTAGAAGATTCACGAAATAAAAAAAATGTAAGGAATTATCCTTAAGACCTTCTTAACTTGAACAGTATACCCAGACAAACAGAAAAAAAAGTAACGCAGAGCTCTACAGGGATAAAAATGTTTTCTGCATATAAAGATGGTGTTTTGTGCTTGAAGTAATAACTTGATGCTGTGGGGGAAAAAAACCACAAGTAAAATGGTGTTAGCATTATTTCATTATGTTCAAAGAAGGTATATTAAGAATAAATTTATCCATGTCCCCTGGGTGGTATTTCTACTTTATGCCGTTTGCAGGCTGTTTCATGAAGGGATTATTTTTTTCATCTCTTCTAATTTTCAGAAAGATATGCTGATAAATCCTCTAAGTTAGCAACCATGGTCAGGTACAGAACTACCTCCAATGTGGTTATGTTGCCTTTTCCCCTCAGGAAATAAAGGAGGAGCTCTGCTGGAGGGCACATGCTGCTGAAGTGGTTGACTTATTTATTGAAGAGGAGAAAAATGTGGTAGTGACAGCATCCATTGATAGTTCAGTCAGGTATAAAATAACTAACACTTCCTACTCCTGTGGCAAATCAGTTGAGCTATCTTCAAAGTTCCTTTTCTTGCTGCTTTTTTATATAGGCTAGAACCTAAATAAAGTGCACTTAAATAAAATGCACTGGGTGCATTTTCTGTTCTGCACCCAAAATAGCTGGTCTTAACGTAACACTTCTCCAGAAGGCAGATCTTTTGCAGACTGTCATTTTCTTTCAGCCCTTGCTTTACTTTTACACATAGGTAATGGCTACATATTTTTTTAAATTACCTCCTGTTCTAATCCTATTTTAGCTTTCAGCATTTCTTAAATTGACATGGATCCTAAGCATGGCATCTAATCAATGTGTGTGCAATTAGACCATGGAAGCTTGAAGATACTTATTAGACAACTATAATTCCTTCTCAGCTAACAAGGGACTTTGAAGGGGTTTCTCTTGGTTTTTTTGGAAGTATTAAATGCAGAAATTTTGTGTAGATCCTGCTCTAGTGGCAGACTTTACTGCAGGAGCAATTCAGGATTTTGGCTCATTTACTCTTCATTTTCGTAAATACAAATATGAAGTGGGTTTTTTCCTGTTTTTTACAACAACCTTCTGAATTTTTTTCACTCTCAAATTATTTAAATTATAAAAACAATCTCCCTGATGTTTTTTATGACTAGAACACTGAACTGTAGAACAGTGCTGCAGAATTTGATAATGTACACGATACTATCTCACTTCTGTTCCACTTCTAAAAATATCCATTTTTATTTTCTGTCCTTTTGCACTGCTTCTACTATGTCTGTAGGGTTTGGCATGCCAGGATTGGATATTATTTTGGTTACTTTGGACAAGCCAGGAAGTTTGAATTAACAGATACCAGTCGGTTGATTTTGCCTTCTGATGTTAATGATTTTTCTGCTATAATTAAAGAGGAGAGCAAACATACGGAAAAGAAGGAGGTTCTATATCCTCTCGTGCTGGACAGAGACAAGTAAGATCTCATACATTTACATACATGTATCATTGGGGGAACAGTTTTGAAAACATGCTTTAAAAATACCTTTCATCTGAAAGTCAGGGAAAAAAAAGTACTATTTGTTATCCAGAAAAATCTTTTTAAAGATGTTTTTTGACGCATTATGGATAAATCTTTTCCTTTTTGTGACTTGGTGACAGTCAGGATTAGGTGACGTTCGAGGTTTGAACTCAGTAATAGTGATGACTAGATACTTGTCTCAGCTTTTAGCCTAATTAGAGGTTGTATATAATATATGCTGTTTGTGATAGCAGCCTGTTGCCTGAACAGCTTAATGTGAATCGTTTCGAGCAAAACACAAATCCTTCTAGAAGAATAAACCAAATTTAATCTTTCAGTTTAAGAAATGTTCATCTTAAACTTGTTGGGATATTATGGATACATTCACATACATGGGTAGAGGATTCACAGATCATGGCATTGTGAAACTGGCATACATATGTTCAATAGCAGTGTTGAACTTTTCTTCTAGGTAGAATTCTTAAGGGAGATGGGTTAGTTACAAGTCCAGTCAGAGAGCCTTGGGCTGTTAGTTTAAGTACATATTTCTAGTCCTGGAACACTCTGGTTCATTAATTAGTGTATTAACCAAGTGAAGAGAAATATTGAAGAGGGCATCTTCAGAGGCAATACACGCAGTGTCTTAAGTAACAAAAGAGTCCAAATAGTGAAAAAAATTATTTAGAACTTAAAAAGTCATGCATTGTTTAGTGGTAAGGTTTCATATACCGTGTCCATTCTTAGGCTGACTTTCAAGCAAAGCAATTTGGAACAATGGAAAATCTCTAAGTTGCTTTACTGTTACCCCATTTAATTTGGTATCCTGCTAATAATTGTTATTTCAGGGAATTCTTACTAATATAAGTAGTGTCACTGCAGTTAGAACAGTAACTCATCAATACAGAGAAATGCTTAGCCGTGTTTGAAGGACCCCTGTAGTTCCTCTGACTAGTCAGTAGCCAGTTTGAAACCTCTGGAACCAAAAATACTATCATTGAGTCAGCTAACCTGAAAGAAACTTTCTACAAATTATATGCCTGTGTCAAACTATGACAACTTTTTGAGGATTCTTAAAATATTTCAGTCAAGGAGAATGGCTATCATACATTTAAACACATTAACTAAACAAAGAGCAAGAAAATGAGAAATGCTTAACTGTGTAGAGAACTGGAGAAAAAAAGCAGCCACACTCTGTGCAATAGAAAGTTTCAGACTTATCCTACAAACTTCGTGTGCTGTCACCTCAAGAGTGACTTAGTTCCTCTGGATTAACTGTATCAAATATTGTAATGGATAGCTAGCCAACCATCATCCAAAAGGCTGTCTTACTTATGGATGCTAGGCTTTGTACTTTGTAGGATGCAGACAATTGTCTTGGGACAAGTCACTTATCTTTGTCATGCTAGTATAATTCACTTACTGGATAACTCATATGATATTAATCACCAAGATAACATTTTAGGATCTCAATTAACAAATCATGTTACAAGTGTTATTTACAGATATATATTCATTGAATCATAGAACCATTAAGGTTGGAAACTATTTCTAAGATCATCATGTCCAACCATTAACCAAGGACCACCATATTCACTTCTAAACCATATCACTCAAGTGCTACATCCAGATGCCTTTTGAACACTTCAGGAGCAGTGACTCCACCACCTCCCTGGGCAGCCTGTTCCCATGCCTGACTACCCTTTCAGCAAACAAATTTTTCCTGATATCTAATCTAAACCTCCCCTAGTGGAACTTGAGACTCTTGTCCTGTGGTCACCTGTGAGAAGAGGCCGATGTCCACGTGGCTACAGCCTCCTTTCAGGCAGTTGCAGGGATCAATAAGATCTCCGCTGAGCCTCCTTTTCTCCAGGCTAAACAACTTCAGCTCTCCCATCTGCTCCTCATAGGACTTATCCTCTCAATCTTTCACCACTTCTGTTGCCCTTCTCTGGACTCACTCCAGTACCTCAACATTCTTCCTGAACTGAGGGCCCAGAACTGGACACAGCACTTGAAGTGTGCCCTTACCAGTGCCGAGTATAGGAGGAGAATCACCCGTAGTCCTGCTGGCCACACTATTTGTATATCACAGATTGAATATCCCAGAATATTCTTAGTTGGAAGGGACTCACAAGGATCATCAAGTCCAATCCTTAAATGAATGATCTGTACAGGTCATACACTGCCAAAGCCCACAGCTTTAGCATTATGAGCACTATGCTTCAGCCAGCTGAGCTAGTGACTATGTGCCATTGTCCTTCTTGGCCACCTGGGCACAGCTGGCTCATGTTCAGCCACTGTGGGTCAGCACCTCCAGGCCCTTTTCCACAAGGCAGCTTTCCAGCCACTGTGTCCCAGGCTACAGCACTATCAGGGGTTCTTGTGACCAAGGGCAAGACCTGGCACCTGGCCTTGTTGAACCTCATACCACTGGCCTTGGTCCATTAGTCCAGCCTGCCCAGGTCTCTCTGCAGAGGTTTCCCACTGCCCAGCAGATCATCATTCCCATCCAACTTGCTGTGATCTCCAAACATAGTGAGGGTGCACTCAATCTCCTCCTCCAGATCATTAATAAAGATAATAAACAGAACTGGGCGCCTCAGTAAGCCCTGGAGAACACCACTTGTGCTCTCTGGAACACAAATCACAAAACTCCAGCTGGAGTGCCAGCTGGATTTAACTCCATTCATCACCACTCTCTGGGCCTGGCCATCCAGTCATTTTTTATCTAGCAAACAGTGCATCTGGCCACACCATGACCAGCTAGCTTCTCCAGGAGAAAGCTGGGGGAAAGTATTCCCCAAATGTGAAAGTACTTGAAAAGGCACAAACCCACCCGAGCAGCATAGGTGCTTACAGTTTAAACAAGCATCTCAGAAGATAGATTGAAAAAATGCCAGGAGGTAAATAGAGCCACATAGAAGAATGGTCTCAGTTTCTCCCTGTAGTTCCTTAGGTTGTGTGACCTGACTTACTTTTCTGATTATAAAGGCAACTGTTAATCTGTGCTAACAGACGCTCCAGATAATTTCTTCTCATGACTAAATTTGGAAACCAGGCATATGAGCAGAGGACACTTTTGTTATGAAAGTCACATTCAGGTGTTCAAGTCAAAACTTAAAGAAATGCTGAAAAGCCATTACCAGAGAGTTAGCACATGACTCTTGTAGATGGTGTTTATATTAAGATTTCCTGCCTTCTACAGGTGACAGCCATACCTGGATTGACAAAATATTAGTGAAGCACTCCATGACACCTATGAAGGTCCTAATATAAATTATATTTTGAAGATATATTAAATCATTTATACTTCAAAATAATTTCATTTTGGAGCCTAGTTAAAAATAATTTCATTTTGGCATCATATATGAATATTGTGTTAATAACTGTCATTTTGATAGGAACTTAAAATTTTTTCTGTCTTGTATGTACAGGTTGAAGTCACTGACCGGATCACCTTCAGATTTAGAAAAGGCTGGACATGAGGAAGCAGTTCATGGCTTCAAGTTTTTCAGAGCTCTGGCTCCTGAAAAGGTAGCTAATGTATATGACAAATTTATGTTCTGTGCCAGGTATAGGAAATAAAATTGTATTTCTCATTTTTAAATTATCCATAAATAACCCTGCATATCTTTCTTATTCAATGGACAAGCTAGACAAAAATGCAAAAACAGAGGGCTCTAAGAAATCTCTGTGGTTTTCATTCTCATTTTTCACATTTCCGTATTTCAGTTTAGAAGGTAGCGCAAACTGATTAACTGTTTTAAATATATAAAATAAACCCTAGAATCTTCCTCTGCTTCAACAGAAAACCTAAATATCTTAAGCTTACTCTAAAGGTGTGTGAAAATACTAGAATAACAGTGAATTCCTGGTTGCATTCAGTAGTTCTTTCAGGGTTCCTATGAAATCAGAAGTCAGGAGAGTTAGATTTCATTACATATACTTTCTACAACTCTAATTGAATATCAGTGGAGCTCTTCCATCTTTACTCGGCTTTAACCTTAGAAGTCATGGGAATATAAAATTTCTCTTGCAGTTGTAGTAAGAATGTCTTGATTACCTTTTGTCTTCCGCTACTAATGCACTTACTTTGGCTTCCCTTGGTCAGCTCCAACATTTGGAAACTTTTGAGTTTGTAAGCAAAGAGGCTGGTGCAGTATTCGGGTTACTTCCTATCTATGAGGTAAGCAAAAGTGTTTTCTACCTTTTGTTGTGTTGTTCATACCTCAGAAGCCGTTAGCAATTGTACTTTATTACAGTGACGTACTCTGACATTCCACTGTTAATTGTCTGCTTCTCAATTTAATTTTCTAACATGATTTGCATTACTACTTATCCAACTCCAACTCCAACTTTGGTGGAAGCTTGAGCATCCAATTGAAGTGAGCATGCCAAACAGTGAGTATTGCAGATGTTTACTCCTCCTGTTCAACCTCATGTCAGTAATGTTTTGCTCAGACTGGCTTCTTTTAACCAGCCCCAAACCTATTGATTCCCATCCATCCAAAGATTTGAGTAATTTAAGGTAGTACTATTTTATGGGTATTAATGATCTGATCTATTGCAAGCTGACTAGCAAAGCTTCTTAGGTTTTTCTTCTATCGAGCAAGATCAGAATATTCCACAGACTTGTCTATCCTACATATCATAAGATGAAATTAATCACCCCTAGCAAAGGTGCTGATCCCTTTCTGTAGAGGGTATCTAGAGAACTGACTTGGATCATAGTTAGATCCTACATGACCAGTTACGTGGGATTAATAAGATACTTTGCATTCCAGCTCTGCATTCCAATACATATGACCTAATCCTTGTACACGCAGCATTACAACATGTCAGAATAAACTCAGGAGCACAGTGTTCAAAAGATTGGCACATATGTTACTTTTCTGACCATTAATGTACTTTGGAAATCTGTGTTTCGTTTTCTGTCTGAAAAAGAAAATAAAATACTCTGAAGCCAAGGGCACTGCAATGGATTTAAAACAAAATGAAATCAGACTTTTTCTGTAAGCTCTGTGCACCAAAATATAATTTTTGTCTGTGCTGTTACAAAATGTTATCAATCTGGTCTATTGACCTTAGTATGTTAATTAGTTCTTGAAATTTTTTAAAGGTCTTCAAAGGATCAAAGCTGAGAAGTCTGGTCACAAGGGACGGGAAAAGCATCCAGATTCCATTGAGGACTTGAGTCAAGACAAATAAATGTAGTTTCATTTCTTCATTTAAGTGGATTAGCAGATTTCTTTTGTTATTTTTTCTCTGCTTTTCAATTACATTTAAATCTATTTCATTATTAAGTAAAACATATGGAAAACAGATCTTTACTTCTATTCCAATCCTTCATGCAAAAGATAAATTCTAATAAAGCCAGTGTATGATTATAATTAGATATTGAAAAGCCCATTTGACTTAATGTATATTTGCTGACAGTTATACTCTATGTCAAAACCACTGATTTCCACTCTGCTTCAATTTGTGCAGTTTGAACTTCTGAATATTGACTATTACACTGCTTTTTTTCTTGCCAGATTAATCATAAAGTCAACAAAGAGTTAATATGCCCTGCTGTTTCTGCCTGTATGTGCGGTGGCCCTGCCACGGCCTCGGGCAGATGGGATGAGCCGGCTGGCACTGCCCACTGCCCGTGTGAGGCCGGGTGGCCACCACGAGAGAGGCACCCCAGGGGAACGGCGTCTGTCGCCCTGGTGGTGCTGAGTGCTGAGGCGTGGGTGAGCAGCTTCAGACAAGGACACTTTTCTGCGAGCCCAAAGAGTCTTTATTTTCCCCAGGTGGGGCAAGAACAAAGGTGCTCTCTGAGTGGGTGCAGGAACAAATGCCAAAGAAATCAAAAATTACAGCAGCTTAAGTAGGGGATGGGCGGACAGGGGTGCAAATCTGTTTCGCCCGATGGAGATAAACCACAGAGGGATAACACCAGTTACAACAACCTGTGATAACGTAACAGGGGTAGGCACAAGGTCAGGACAAATAGAAAAGCTAAACTGGGGTGATTGATACAGAACTTTCTCAAAGAAACTGGGGGTGGTTACAGGATTGACAGCCAAAAGGGTATAAACAAACTTGGATTGATGGAACCAAATAAGGAGAAAACAGGGAGAGGTGAGAAGATTGACAGGTAACTGGGAGGCCAAGTGGCAGGAACTTTTGGATCAAACCAACTGTGAGGGGACAAATGGGGAAGCATAAAGGCTAACTAACATTAATAAAAGAAACTGACTAAATCAAACCACACCGCAACATGTTTGCTCCTTGCTTATGCTTTCAAAGAGTGTATTCATCCTCTAAGCCAGAAAAGTGCCTGCTGAACTCATATTCAATTAATTATCCATCATGATTCCACAAATCTTTTATTGCATTTCAGCATGTCAGGACAATGTCATAACATTGCCATAACATCAGAGCAGAAAACACATTTTCATCCTTTGGCTAAGCATACAAATGGTGCCAAGTGTCTCACCTTAGTGAGAAAAAAGGTAATTGCATATAATAATGCATATAACTAGTGATATTATTACCTATTATTTTGGGGAAAATAGAAGGTTTTCTATATCACTGGTATTGAATGGTGTTTGACTTGCTGGTTTTCTTGAAAAGACATATGTCTCATTAACTGATTATACAATGACTTGCAATTATTTACCTGCCTTCAACTTGTTACAAGGCTATGATGGATTTAAGGGTAGCTGCAAAATATCATGTGGGAGTATATTTAAAATCCTTATTATCAGCTGTACCAGATCTGGCAGGGATCAATTGTAATTTTCTTGATAGCAGCTGGGTCCAGAATTAGTAAATAAAACAGTGCTGATAACACACAAGTGTTTTGCCTATTGCTGAGCAATGCCAGGATAACAAGGTGCTTTTTTCCCCACAGCCAGTGAGTAAGCTGGGAAGGGACACAGCTGGGACAGCCCATACCATATAACATCCTCATGGAATGGGGAGGGAACACAGATGTTCATGGTTATAGTGTTTGTCTTCCCAATTTGTCTTCCCATTATGTGTGCTGAGGCCCTGTTTCCCAGGAAGTGGCTAAACGAACATCTGCCTGCTGGTGATAAGCAGTGGTTGAATTTTTTGTTTTGCTTTGCGTGCACATGCAGCTTTGCTTCACCTAGTAAGCTGTCTTCATTGTGGCCCAAGAATTTTCTCACTTTTGCTCTTCCACATCTCTTCCCCATCCCACTGGGACAAGTGAGGAAGCAAGCAAGAAACTGGGCAGGCACTTGGTCTCTGCAGAGTCAGCCCACCACATTAGCCAATCTTGTGATCAAAACTAAAATCAGACTTGTCTGACAAACCAAGTGGCACCAAATAAAGTGTGATCTGTCATTTACTGCTTGTGTTCACTTCATCTGACCCATGATTTAGCAGTTAGAATATGAAAGGTAACATTCTTGCAATTCTGAGTCCTATATAATTTTGAAAACTACATAAAGTCTTTTTCAGTTACCTGAAAATTGCCTATTCTTGAAATATTATTATATGTGCACAGTTCAAGTTCAGTGAGATCCTTACCCATTTATTTTGATGCTCATATGTGTTATGTTTTATCATATGCAATATAATATTTTCTCTTTGGCATTGTCCCTACTAACAGTCAGGCCTAAATTATTGTACTATGGTTGCAAGATGCAGATATCCCACTTCTCTTCTGTTTATTAACTGACTACTTACTTCCTCAAAACTGACTATTTACTCAATATTTCTTTTTACCAAACTTTTAGCAGTGCTGGGATTTCATATGTTCTTAATTTTCAAATTATACCCTTTTCAGTCTTGCTTCCTTTTCCCTTCAGTTTTCTTTATTAATTGCCTGTGTTTTCTAGGAGTTGACTTGTAGTCATGGCTGTTCATGCCACTATACTCTCCACTGTACAGAAACTATCCATAATGTAGTACTATTGCCAGTAAAAATCAAGTGTTTAATCCTATGGTGAGTGAAATAATGGACAAGCTCTCAGGAGGGAAAGGAGGGAATCATGCTGTAAGGAAAACTGTCAGAAATGCATGATGTGTGTGTGCTATCTTTATCAGCCTTCCACCCAGTCACTATCTTACTGTTATGCTATTTAAAGTGTGACAAAGTTAGAGTGCTATAAGTGCTATCAGATCTTTTTTTCGTTATTCATTATATTAAAAAAACCTGGGGTAGATCAGGCTGCATGTCTTTGCTCAGCATTACTGTTTACTTCCAAACCCTAGGGCTTTATAAGCACCAAATAGAAACTGGTCCTGGCCCCAACCATTTTATACAATGGTCTTATCCAACTGCCTTTCTTAAGTGTCAAAAGAAAAGCAGAGACATTTAATTTCTTTGAACAGATAATCCACTAAGGCATTGCACAGAATTTATTAGAAGATTAGTTGTTTATCAGAGGATGAGACTGGAAAGAAATTAAGCACAGGCAAGTGATGCTTGGACCTACTCATCTTCTATCAGTCTTATCAATGCTGGGTCTAGTACAAAGGTGTGTGTTAATGGATTTGTTGGTACTAACTGTGGATTTCCTCTATCTTGATGCAGGATGGTTTCCTTCTACCAGCATCCACAATTATATTGCACTTAAATGTTCCAGGTAAATGAGTTGTTTGATTGTTCTAGATCACTACTCTATTAAGGAAAGGCATCTTAACAGGACAGCCTCTTTCAGCATGGCAGAAGTTTGTGCTTCTGCTGGCTGCAGTAGTTAGTTTGCCAGAATTTCATTACAGCCCTTGCCAGTGCTTTACAAAATCTGTGACGCTCTTCAGTTGCCCTCACCCACTGGGGCAGTTCAAGCTGAATGGCATCAATGGTGCCAGAACTACGGGAACCAAAAGTCTTTGTTATGTACCCGCCACTATAATAACTTCCATTATTTGGGCTAGGATTGGATGGAGAAGGCACACAAACGTAGCTCTTATTTTGTCCTTCAATATATTTACCCAAACTTCTGTTCCCCGCAACCAAAGTCTCAGAAGACACATTGACCAGCTGACTGGCCAGATGGCTAATTGAGGAATTTGATGCAGAAAATACTCCTGAGTTAAGGGAAGTTTTTGAAAGTGTGTAACCTAGTTCTATCCACCTTTCAGGATGTGCTTGTCCGTGGATATCCAGAATTAGTCCCCCTGACATCTGTGATTTTGCAGTGGTCAAAAATCCCATATAGTCCTCCCAGGCCTGTTCTGCTTGGGGAATTCCAAAGGAGGCTTCTTCCTTTTCCCTGTTAGCATCCATCTTGAACCTCTGTAGGTGGTTTATGATGATATGTGGGAAGAAACCATCAGTAATTTTGTTGATTTCTTCAGCAAGAACCTGAGCCACCTCTATAGTATACCTGTCTTGGTTGGTAGACACTTTGCATTTCATAGCATTTTGACTACTTCCAGGAGGACAGACATGAGAGAAAATACAAGAGGATGTCATTGCATTCCAACAGGCAGCCTCTCGATCGGGGATGTCTTTAGGTTCCATTGATCCACCATGCGGGACAGAGAGAATGAGGTTCATGTTGCCCACTTGATATTCTGTGAAATTATTATGACCAAATATAACATCTTTGGTGCCAGTGACTTTCAAAAGCAAAGGTAAAATGGAAAGGAGGAATAAATACATGTTTTTCATTTGCTGCTGGAAGACTCAGCAATATGGAATATATCAGTACCTACAAAAAAGCAAAGAACAGACTCTAGATTACTTTCAGTTGGGAACACATGAGACTGTTCAGCTGCTAGTGGCATAATTAGTTAATGATTAACCTATTTTAGTTCTATTCCATGTAGCACAAAGGAGAACACTTATATGAGAAACAGAAATTAACAGGGCACTTAGTATGGCTCGATGTAACAGATGCAAGGGAAATGTCCCAGAAAGCACAAACAGTATTTGATCACCCTATCTGATTCCAGAGAATTATCCCAGCAAAATATCTGATTTTTTTTATTTTTTTTTTTTTTGCATCAAAGCCTCTCTTTTTTCATCTCTGAAATGTAAGAAAATTCTAACAGAATTTGATAAAACATCTTCATTACATTAACCTGTGTGAAATAGCTTTGTATTATCAATGTGGTTATAGGGGCTATGTCAGACCAGACCACCACTTGTGTGACCAGACTTGTGTAAAATAATCAGACTGATAAAAATTGAGTGCTACCAAGCTCTGTCTTAATTATGCTCCAGACTGAGTTACTTTAAGACCTTTACAGATAGTCTATAAGGTATAGATAGGTACCATGGAGTGCATTAAGTAGTGGCTCTGTTCTCTTTAGTTTGCAAGTCTCCATTCTGTTTAAGTGAACGAAGATACTTTAAAGCCCTCATTAATTATGCCATTTTTTGGAAAGCTGGAATTTAACAAGATGCTGGCAGGTCTTTCTGTTTTGAAGAGATCTCTAGCAAGATCAGCGTCTTGAGTGTAACTGTATCTGATGGCTGTAACATGAACCAGTAAAGTCAGTGAAATCAGATTAAAAATGGATACTTTTCACTTCCAGGAGTGAAAAACCTAATCAGTAAAGGCCAGATGAGTATATAGACACATGCATTTGCAGATGACTCAGGGTACCCTGTTGTCTGGTCCCAGCCCTATCATTACGGCACCTGCGGAAATACAGAAGATAAGAGGACAGACAAAGGTGAGAGAGAGAAAGAAAGAAGATCAGCACAAATCCGTCCCCAAATTCTGGCTTGGGACTATGTATGAGAGCAGCCAGTAATACTGAGAAGGCAGTGGGCACTGTGGAAGCACCTGCCATCAGCTGCCTACTGTAAGAAAGGGAGAGCGCAACTTCACCCAAATAATGCAGCAAAATATTATTTTCCTGCTATGAGGGAGTGCTGCTGGATTTTTAGAGACAATCTCTCCTGTCAACTGCACTCTGAAGAGCATGTACCTGAAAAATAAACATCTATCTTCTGCTCTACTGTCTGGGCTGAAAGTCCCATAAAAGTCTGTAGCTGGAATCGGATAACTGAGAATCTCAGCTACAGTTTTCCTGTTTATGCCAAAAGATTTTTTTTTTTTATTCATTTTAAGCTTTCATTTAAAAGCTTCTTTTAGTTGAGCTACAGGCTTAAAACAAGATTTTATCCAAGGCCCATATGGTTCATGCTTCTGTAGACTTCCCTGAAACACAGACATTCACCTGCTAGAAACCCTGAGGAAAGAAATGCTTTCAAACATTATTCAAAATCCCTTTTCTCAGAAAAAATGGACCACACATGCAGAGTGAGTATGGGAATAGCTTACCTGAGGTGCAGGGGAGTTCAGCACCAAGTTAAATCGACAGCAACAGCTCCCCAGAGGCTGCTCACCCGCCCCAAAAGGACTCGGCTTTCTTGTCTCAGGCTCTCTTTCAAATAAGATGACACAGCTGTTCCTTTCCCACAGCATGCCACGTTGTTTGTTGTTCTCGGCAGCAGTTCTCTTGTCTTTTTGCAGTTTCTTGTTAATTATTGAATCAAGCTGCTAATGCTACTAGATCATGCCTTAATGATAGATATATGGAGAGAGAGCTCTATAATTCCCAAACTGAAACATGGCACAGCTCATGTTCTAGACAGACTTGGAGAGTCCGGAGGTACCTGTGTTATTGTAAAGTCGAAAAGAAAACCAAACAAACAAACAAAAAAAAACAAACAAAAAAATCCCACCAAAACCAAAACAAGAGTAATTAAAAGTGGTAGTAGTGACTGCAGGACTAGTTTGAAGATTTACTTACAAATTACGAGTTTTTCCTGTCTCTGTGCCTCGGAAAGCGAAACTGAACTGCCCCTTGCACTCGGCTGAAGCTGAGGCTGTGTCCCTCTGGGGGCCAGGCCGAGCCATGCTGAGCCGGAGGCTTCAGCAGCACCCGGATGTATGATTTCACATCGACAGATCACAAGGGAAAAAAATATGCACTACTGAGATACTAGTGTTTAGCATGCTTTTGTTCTCTGTAGTGACATTACGTTTCCAGAGATAAAAATCTTGCCACACAAGGGGCACAGTGTAGCACAAGAGCCACACAAGTGTAGCACAGCCCAACTTAAGACAAGTTCAGAATAGCTACTAGGTTAACATAATCAGCAGATACCCATAACAAAACTATGTCTTCTTAGCTAAGCTAAAAAAAGCTGTGAAAATATATAGTCCAGTAATAGATATTTCAACAAAAGGCAGATAAAGGGGGTGGTGAATATAATGCTGCCACCTATCAGAGAAAAATCAAATTTCTTTTCTAAGAAATTGATTAAATAGTCCAACTAACTTACAAACAAACTTTTTGAGATAAAAGTGATCGACTTCTTAAGCAGTGAAAACAATACAGTAGCAGTAATAAGAAATTCACTGAAATTCTGGAAAAAATATTGTAAACCAGTCTATTAATATCACAAAGCTGATGGTCTGATTGTGAGCTTCAGCAAAGTGCTGGTTTTCTTTCTGAGGATTTTCATCTTCTGCAAGAAGACACTTTCAGCTGTGCCAGACACTGCACAGAAGGAAGTTTAGTAAAAATCTGGAGGATGTCCTTGCCCATTGTAGTGGGCACAAATTTAATTTTGCTTTACTTGTCCGTGTAAAGGTTAGATGTTTACATCAGTGATCCCATTCCCTCTCTTTAGGAGAGCTGTGTTGAGAAAGAAGCAGTTCTAGAGGTACTTCAGTGTTTTTATCTTGGGCACCTATCTCCAATTTCTATTAGGGATCAACAGGGCTATACTCTATACTTCCGTTTTATTACATGAAAGAAAACAGCTGCAAAGAAAACACAATGTTTCTGCTATACTTCCTACTTCAAGATCTCTTTAAAATGTATTCTGCCAGTCACTATTACAAAACTGCTCAAGGAAAGAGAAAAACACACAGCAGAGATTTGGCATAATAATTTATAGTCTTACCAGTTTTCCTGATACAGGAGCTTCTTGTGAAAGAAAATAATTCGCTCTATTACTACAAGTCTTGTAACTAATCATAATGCAGTGCTGCTTCCCTGTTTCATCTGGTACCTATAGGAAATAAAACTGCAATACCGTGGTATTCTTCAAAGGAATAACCCACCAAAATGTTACCATCTGACTACTTTCTTCCAGGAGACACTGTTGAACTGAAAGATCGGTATCTTTAACCAGTTTTAAGTCAAGATAGCTCTACTGAAACCAGCTAAGCCTTTGACTCATGGTATCAAGCTTCTATTATTTTATAGAAGATCTCACAAGGGTGGATCACACTGGTTCATACATGGCTGAAGATATTTGTAATAAACTGAATGTTAAGGCATGTTGTGCTAACTGTTCAATTCCAAAGTACTTATGCTTTCAGGTGAAGGAATTGAAAAGGAAAATCTGAGCCAGGCAAGAGTTCTGTAGCTCTGGCTTCTTTCAAGGCAAGTTGTTTGGCTCCTGTGCTTCTGACTCTGAGGTTCACCTTAGGACTATTTTAAACTATTTTTAATTTACAGAAAATATTCAGAAGTATTTTTAATTGAATTACATGTAAGATTTTTAATTGATGTACCAATGATATTGGTAGATTACATTGTCTACTCTGATTACTTATCTTCCCATGAGCACAGCAGTTTGATAGAAGAAGAAATATCAGAAGTGATAGAAGAACATATTCTGAAGAGAAGCGAACCTAATCCAAACGGATTCTAACTGCAATTGGATTTAAAACATGGGAGTGTGTAATATATAGTCAGAATCATGGAGTGAAAAAGAATTCGCAAAGCAGAATTCAATTGATATTTTCAACATCAAAACATCTTATGCTATCACTGTGGCCAACTTATTTCTATGCATTTCTTAGCTGAGAAATTGTAATTCAGATATGCTCTTTCCAGAATGCATTGAATTTAAACTTTGCTGTCCACTGCCTGGAAACATTGCTTTTTACACTGCTGACTGAGTCACCCATGTCACCAAGTCAAAGTATCTAAGAACTGTACAGGCTTCTAAATGGCATGTAGAAAAAGAAACTTCTATCTGTAATTGGCCTACATTTATATCTTACTGCAATTTTTGTTTTTATTTATGGAAAATTATGTTTTTATTTACTTCGGCCATCCGTTCTTACCTTAACCCCGGGGTTTCAGCGCTGTGACAATAACATCTGTCCCCGCTGCATCCTTGGCAGGCAGTGATCCACCTCGTTCTTACCTTAACCCCGGGGTTTCAGCGCTGTGACAATAACATCTGTCCCCGCTGCATCCTTGGCAGGCAGTGATCCACCTCAGCCCCTCCCTTCCCTCCCCTCTCACCGCGTTGGCTACAGTCCATTGTCCTGTTAAAACTCTGCGGGGACTTTTGATTTGTGCGTATGTAATCTACGATTTAGCATAAATTCGTGCTCAGGACTAAAAAATACAGTGTCCTTTGTAATGAAACCGAGTGACGGGAAAGAGCAACATACACAGGATGAATTTCTGTCTCAAAGGATGGTTATTCTGATAGATTACTCTGTCTAGAAGATATGCCTTGAACGATAAGATGAATATTCGTCGCCAGAACAAAATATTCGAAGAGATTACCGTCTAACAGGATTTCAGCAATGAGTATTGTGGGGAAACCTCCTTTTAGAAGCATCACAAGAAAAGATGCATGAATATGTGAAAAAGGACAAGAGGAAACAGGAGGACCCCCCAGAATCCCGCTAAGTCTGGAAACAATATCAAAAAGAAATCGGTACCCAGTGAACTGCCAGGGCACGGTGCTGCAGTAGTCCGGACCCAGTCCACACAGCACCGATCGCCTGGCTCGGCGCTGATCTGCTTGCGGCTTTTCCAATTTTACTTTGACTTAATTTAAAAATTCCCTTAATTATTAAATCCACCGATTCATTTATAACACGTATTTAACGTTCACAGACGTCACATTCCTGTCGTCACCCACAAGCCGTGCCCGCCGGCCGTGAGGAACTCTGTGAGGGACGCCCTGAGGCACGCGCGGGGCACCATGGGCACCGCAGTCCCCGCGCGCGCGCGGGGCGGGGCCATAGCGCTGAGCGCGCGCTGCTTGAAAGCCCCGTGCGGCCGGAGGAGCCGCGGCTGAGCTCAGTCGGGCCGGGCGGAGGAGCCGCGATTGCCCGGGCGGGACGGGCCGCGTCTCCGCGCCCCTTGCCCCTCTGTACCTCTCTACCTCTCTCTCTCCAGCTCCGGCAGCGCCGGCCCGCAGCGAGGTACAGCCGCCCCCGCCGCGTGGGGAGGCGGCCCCGGGCCGAGATGCGGGGGGGCAGCCGCGGGAGCTCCTCGTGGCCCCGGCGCGGCCCAGCGCCCCGGCGGTGAGCGGCCCGGCGGTGAGCGCCCCGGCGGGCCGAGAGCGAGGACCGAGCGCACAGAGCACTCGGCTCTGCGTACGCGCCTTGCTTTGCTTCCCCGCTCCGCGGCATCATGGGCATCCAGGGCCTGCTGCAGTTTATCAAGGAGGCTGCCGAGCCTTCCCACGTAAAGAAATACCAAGGACTGACGGTGGCTGTGGACACCTACTGCTGGCTGCACAAAGGCGCCTATGCTTGTGCTGAGAAGCTGGCCCGGGGAGAGCCCACGGATTTGTAAGTCTTTCTTACGTTTAGCTTTCAGCCCTTTTAAAAGTGAAGTTTTGTCAACTTGGTGTTTCTTGAACTAAAAACTAAGTTACATTAGTTTCGTTTCTTACTATTGATTCTGAATTCTGAGTTGAAGTCTTTTGAAATGGAAATTTTTGGCGATAAATAAACAGCTTTCCAGCTGTACAAAACAAAAAAAAAGTATTTAAGAATATATTGGGGAAAAAAGTTCTCAAATATTTCTTTTGTTAGAATACCCAAGGCTGTATCAGTTAGGTTTTTTGTCCTAGCATGTATCACTCTCAACTATAATCTAATTTCTTTGATGAAATTCTGTACGTGCAATTCTTTAATTTCAAATTTAATGTTGTTTCCAGACACCTTTTTTGCATGCAAAGAGACTTTGTAAGTACTTCTGTGACAAAGGTTGTAATGATGTCAAGGAATTTTGAGAGACGTGTTATGCTCTGAATAAGGTGTAAGATTTTTTGCTGAACATACTACGTTTTTAGTTAAAGTAGCTTTTTAAAACCACATTTACACAGTTACAGTTCTGGAGAAAGAAATGAACAAAAATTGTGGTCATACTTCAGATTCAACTCCACACCTTAGACCAGGTTTGCATTTCTTGCCCTTCTCTGGCAATATGGCTTGAAGTCTTGTTTTAGATTGGAGATCGGTAAGGTTGGAAGGGGCCACTGCATGTCATCTCATACAGGCTCCCTTAGAAAACGTCACTTGGGGTTGTGTCCAGATGGCTTTTCAATATGTCCAGAGAAGGAAGAGGTTCAAAAACCTCTCTGGCCAACCTGTTTCAGTGCTTGGTTATTTGCCCAGCAAGGAAGTTCTACTTATCTTCTAGTGGAATTCCCATGGTTTGGTTTCTGCCTCTGCCTCTTGTCCTATTGCTTGGCACCATCCAGGGGCCCTTGGATCCATCAAATGTTTGATTGGAGGCAAGAGAGAGCTGATGCTTTGCAAATGGATTCAGATATTTACTGCTGCTTATGTTAAGAACTGTGGAGTTTCAGTCCAGTCCTGCCTTGAAGGTAGTGGAGATTCCTGAGAATAGGATACGCTTCACCTGAGGAAAAAATTGACTGTCAGGAGAAATAAAGTCATAGGAAACTTTGGAATGGTTGAATTTGAATACATGAGTACTTTATGGGCAAGTCTTCTTTCCATGCACACATGGTCCTAGACTGGCACCTTAACTATAGTGTATAGGCCTTTCATAGTTTAAAATTCATCTGGATGGAGGTATTGTATAGCGACAGTGCTATGTGCTCCTGTCTTTCAAAAATCAGTTATTTTTCTGTAGCTCTAAATCTAGTTTCTTCAGTGCTCGTATCCTTGCATTCTAAATGCTTCTAAATCCCACTCTCCTTCTCCTCCCTTCTTCTGTTAATGAGGTTGCTTTTGCTGTTTTAAACAGTGTCTCTAAAATTAAAATATTTTTTTTCTTTGAGCATCGCTGCAATATGCTTGCTTAGTGTTTACAGCAGATGTTAGATTTTAATTCTGTGCTGCTGATAAAACAACCTCATACACATCTGTAGGAATAACAGGTAAGAAGACTAGAAGTTTGAGGGAATAACTAATATCTGGAATGCCTAACAAATATATTTTCAAGGAACGGGTTTGAAGGCTGTGGATGGTTGCCTCCTGAGCCATATACCATCTTCACAGTTTGTACAGAAGGGGAACTTCTCTGTCTTTTGGAATATTTCCAGTCTGTGCCTGTATTTTTAGTATGGGAATATAGGTTTGCATGTCTTGTCCATAGGATATATCTATTATCTGGAGAGAAGAGTGGATAGTTCTACCAGGAGAGACTAAATAACCCCATCACTTCTAACTCGACAAAAGTGGTTTTAGTCTGCCTTTCTGGGGGAAGGTCATGTACTGTTCTTGCCTGCTTCCTGTTTCCCTGGCCATTGGGAATTGAGTTGCTGAAAGTAAAAAGACAATCCATGTTTTAACTGGTTAAGTTTTTGTCAGTATTGAATCCTAACGCAGCAAAATCAACCGAATTATACTTGAATTCTTATTTCATTTTGTCTGGGAGAGAGGAGCGGTCAGCCCAGTTCTGAACTGGGAGGTGGATTGTTTCTCTTGGTAAAAAAAAATCAACTAAACTGCATTCAAATGTTCTTTGTTTTTTGTGATACTGGGAGAATGTTCAGCCTGTTATGATTTTTGAACACTAGTTAGTCCTAAATTGACAGTTCTCCTGTCCTGAAGCTGGAAAATGTGTAATAGACTTGTGATTAACAATAAAGTTTATCTCACTTTTCTTACTTTTGTTGTTGTTGATACAGTTATGTAGCTTTCTGTATGAAATTTGTTCATATGCTCCTCTCATTTGGAATTAAACCAATTTTGGTGTTTGATGGATGTACCCTACCCTCTAAGAAGGAAGTGGAAAAGGCACGACGAGAGTAAGTACTGAAGTGTATTGATTTGCAAGCAGAGCAGTTTTATCACTACAGTAAAAAATCAAAAACCCTCCAACTTCAGCTAGGAAGTAAGTTCTGGTAAACTCTGCTGCAATGTAGTGTGATATTTTTTAATTTGCATCTAAAATCATACAAACTTCTTAGAGGTTTTATTCCAAAAATAGAAATGCACTTCATAAATGAAAGCCATTTTATAAAGGAAGGAAGTAAGCCTTTGAGCAGTAGTTCCTGTCATGTATTAGAGGCTTTTAGTTTACCCGCACTTGTGATCTCTGGACAAAAATATTTTTTCCCACTATAATTTTACTTCAAAATAGTACCCCTTTCCTCATCTTTTTCTACAACTAACAAGATAATGTTGTTTCAAATTTGGATTCAGGTCCCTATAAACGGGACGTTTCACTGAAGTTTTGAGAATTTTTCAGTAGTGGTTGTTTTTTATGAAGTCTCATGAGACACATGCTTTCTTCAGCGTGAAGTGAACAATTTCCGATTTATGAAATTAGGTAAATTAGGTTTTCTGTCCTCTAAATCAATAACTATCTAGTGTCAGATACTCCCAATTCCCATTAAATCTATTTTACTGCAAGCCGAGTGCGTGCATTTGTTCTTTTACACTGCTGATTTCAGTTCCTATTTGTCACTGTTTTCTGAGAAAATATTATCAATTTCAGCATTCAAATCTTGTTGTCCTTGTCAATGCAGTGACCTAGTAATTATTTTGTTTTAAAAATGTATGCAGTAGCCCAGATTTGGGAGGCGTTACGATTTCCCCCCTTTCTTTCCTGTCTCTCTTAGTCCCTTCTGCTGTTTGTTCTTTAAGTGAAAAATAATCTGAGATTGGTGGATATTTTTGTGTTTCTTTTAGGAGGCGTCAAGCCAGTCTTCTGAAGGGGAAGCAATTGCTGCAGGAGGGGAGACTGTCAGAGGCTAGGGAATGTTTTGGGCGAAGTGTAAATATTACCCATGCTATGGCTCATGAAGTTATTAAAGTAAGTTGTCAACATTATTGATAATACCAATTTTAAAAAAATCTCTGCAATAGGTAGCATATCCTACTCTGCATTTTTGTGGCTACATCACTGCCTCTTCTATATAGAAAAGGAAAGTATTCCCACTTGCTTAGTCTCTAATTGTTGTGCATGTTATTGGATTGTGTTAAACACAATTAACAAGCTTGAAGTTTATTATGCCTATTTGTATAAATAATAATGACATGTCAAACAAAAGGCATCTCTTCCCGCCTCTATGAACTGAATTTGATAACATCTGTTTTACTTTTGCAGCACAAAACAAATCAATTTTTTTTTTTGTCTTTTTCTGTTTTCTAGTTTCTGAGTATAGACTACAGAAAAAAAATTTGGCTGATTAAAAATTGTTCTAGTAACTTTTTGCTATATTTTAAATGCAGTCATAGGGTCTTTATCAAAAAGTATTAAGTTTGTTCTAGTACTGTTCTCTTTTGTCCAGAATATAACTTGCATGAGTTCGACATTGTCATCTGTGGTCAGATGCAGCAGTGTTATAGGACAGGTTGTTTTTGTCAACCAGTGTATATAGATCTAAATTGCTTTAAAGTGGAGTTTCTGACTATGAAATATCGGACTCTTACTGAGGGAAGGATGGATACGTGATTAAAAGTTCATGGTTTTGGTTTTTTAATGTAGAGGTTTTTGTGCTTTCAGGTCTCTTAAGGTAATTACTGAAAATTAATGCGAAGTACTTGTATGCTGGTTTTTTATGTACAGGCTGCACGAGCCCAGGGAGTTGATTGTATTGTTGCTCCTTATGAAGCTGATGCTCAGCTGGCATATCTTAATAAGACTGGCATGGTTCAAGCTATAATTACGGAAGACTCTGATCTTTTAGCTTTTGGATGTAAAAAGGTATGGAAGAAAATACTAATAACCTGTACCTCTTGC